TGTCTGATCTTGGTCTTGTGCAGGCCGTCACAGCCACTGGGCACATATGCAGCTGCCAGAGACGTGATGATACAGATGTCCCACTTAGGACGGAGCACTCCCCAGTACCTCATCCTCTGCACACTGATCAGAAAGACCACACATATCCAGTATTTGGCCCTACACCCCTGCATAGACCGGCAGTACTAAGTGGACTCCATGGGTCGCAAACTAACACAAGGGAGGAGTGGCATAGATAGGGGAGGGACTGTGGGGGGAGGGAAGAGGGGAGGACTGAACTTGATCAAAACATGCTATCTGGATATGTAAAATTCTCCAACAATTAAACAAATAAAGTATGGTGGTGCACACCTGTAATCTTAGCACTAGGGAAGCAGAAGCAGGAGGATCAGAAGGTCAAGGTCATCCTTGTCTACATAGTGAGCTCAAGGTCATCCTTGTCTATGTAATGAGTTCAAGTACAGCCTGTGGTGTGTGAAACCCTGTCTCAAAACGGAAAATAAAAACAAACAAAATCCCCCACTGGGAAAACATCCTCCATTCTTTCCAGGTCTGCTCTTTGATGGTTTCTCTAGTCCAGTGGTCCTCACCTTTCCTAACACTGCGGCCCCTTCACACAGTTCCCTGGGTCCTGGTGATTCCCACCTTAAAATTATTTCCACTGTTACTATGTAAGTGTACTTTTGCTGCTGTTATGAACAATAATGTAAATATCTGATCTGTGGGATATCTGATCCCCCTGAAAGGGTTCTTTGACTCCCGAAGGGACCATGACCCAGAAGTTGAGGACCACTGTGTTTCAAATGTTTGCAATGAAGAAGTTGACTTTGGATGGGTCACTAGAAGGGCTCTAAGTAAAATCCATCTTTTATTTATTGAAATGGAGAAAAAGAACCTGGAGAGATGGTTCAGCGGTTAAGAGCTCTGACTGCTTTTTCGGAGGCTCTGAGTTCAATTCCCAGCATGGGAGTGCTTACTTCTACTCCTAATACTTAAGAGGCTGAGACAGGAGGATAGCCCACCAGTAAAAGACCACCCTTGGCTGTAGAATGAAACACTGCCTCTCCAAAACCAAACAAACAACCTACATGGGTGAGTGGCGGGAATGAGCCTTGATTTCCTGAACTCTGGCTTCAGCACTGAGGTTGTAAGTGCTGGAGCTGGGCCCTGTTCCCAGTAACGATGTTCCCTGTTCCCAGGGCGATGGTAACCACAAAGGCCCCAGCAAAGTGACAATGCTTCATCTGTCACATCCTTTAGGACTGTCTCCCACTGCCTGCCTTTCTTTTATATCTTTTTGGTTCCCCAAAGCACCAACCACACATATCCACACATTCAGCCCCCTATGCTTTCCTCCTTGAGTTTTTATTTGAACACTATGATTTCTTTTTCTACTTCAGCCCTAAGACTGACTTCTTCCTTTGGCACTGTTAAAAAGGCTATTCTTGCGAAAATTGCGTAGCCAACTGAGCAGCAGGCCTCAGACACAGGGGTTGTTAAACGAGGGAACATGAGAAGGAGACAGACACCTCGGTCAATGTCTTTGAGTGAGGCTCCATCTTAGGAGTACTTCCTTTTCTCCTCAGACTCTGCCATTTGGGGGCATCTGCAGGAATGGATGCCAGCCTCACCCTGAAGTACAGGCACATACACACATGCACACACACAGGCAGACAGACAGACAGACAGACAGACACACACACACACACACACATGCTTTTGTCCTAAGCAATCATTGTCCATAATTCACTTGAACACTTAGGGAAGTAACAAGGAATCAAGATTATTAATTAATTAATTATCTGTATGTACATACATACATACACTGAACTTACAGGGAGTAGAAGTGTTCTGGTGGAAAAGGAGAAACTTTGGACCGATACTAAGAATGTCCTGAAGGCTTTGCTGCAAGAGACATTTCTATTTTTTAAGTATTCATCTTAGGCCCATTGTGTGGGAGGGTAAGGGTTGTGCTTAATGAGAAGGTTATTTTTAGTTTAAAAAATAGGACACTGTACGAAGGAAAATTTCTAGTCCCAGTTATGATTTTGTCCCCAAACCATCAAGTCAGATCTACGCCATTTTCCTGCTGCTTACTCAACTTCGCGGTCTGAACAGTATGGTTAGATCTTATTCCCAGGACATTTGAGGTATGTTTTTGCACGTGGGGCAATGACTCCGAGACTTGTCTCTATTATTTTATTTCAAAACTAGAAATATGAGACAAGCTGGTGAGGCCAAGGAAACAAAAGAGGAGAGTGATTCTCAAGTAAAAACCAAACAGAAATGAATGAGCGCATGCTTGTTGTTCTCGGCGACTCCAGAACTTTCTAGACCATCGAAGATGTAGAGCGGTTAGGACGATTCTCTGGCTTCAGGTTCCAAAGGCAAACAGGAAGGCAGGGCCAGAAGGAAATCAGTTTCTGTTGCTCTGTGGTGACAGGTTTGAGCTAGTCACAAGAGTCAATGACTAATAATCCTAAGTAGTTTTTTTTTCTTTTTCCTCTCTTGCTTAAATTTAACTCTAAAGTTGCCCCCAGATAATGACGGCTTTGAGTGAAGTGACTTCCCATCGTGAGTAAAGCTTGGACTTAGGCCATGGGATCACCACCACGAGCCCCCAGGAGTCGGGCACCTTCCTCTGTGTGGCTGCTGTGAGCATTTTGAGAGCCTCCACTTTTGCATACGGTCTCTCCCACACAACGGGGTGTGTTTTCTGGGTGTCCAGGTTGACTTTAAACATTTAAATGCCTCTGATCACCTGCACCTTGTGGAAAATGACACCTGACCTCCCTGCTTTTCTTCCTGGCAGGCGTGGCTAATCAGAGCCGCCTATCAGTGTACCTGCCCCAAGAGTTTCTTTTCATTATAATTTGCAAGACAGTCCAAATTGATAAGACACGGAGTTGACCTCTGTTATGACATCTGGTTGCTGCTAATTTTTATCTTTCACGCATGAGTTTTGTCTTTGACTCAGGGCGGGTTTCGAGTGAGAAAGAAAAGCAAGTGTAGGTTTCTGGATCTCAGGGGGAGGCAAGGGCTTCCTGTCAGGGCTGCTTGTCAGTTCAGCTGCTGACTTGACAGGACTATGCATTATTAAGTGCACACACATTGATTTCCATGTTGGGATTTATAATTAAGTTTTTAGGTTAATACACAAAGGAGATCTCCCTATGGTGATACTAACTTGTCCTGTCATTTCATCTTAGCAGCAACAGTTCAGGGTGGAAAGGAAGGGCTGGGAGGTAGAGAAAGGGGAGGGAGAGGGAGGGGCACGAGGAGTGTGCACTCAGTTGTTCAGGAGAGGGATGGAGCCTCCGTGGCATTGGAATGGCTGAGGCGAAGATGCTGAAGTTATAACCCGGAGCTGTGGGTCTGGCTGGCTGACTCCAGTGTTACAGACTTCAGTGAGGATGTGTGCCCTGAGAACCTTACCAGTGCAACCCTCATTCTCGGGACATGCTAGTAGCAGTAACATCTACCATTAAATTAAAGAGACCAAGAGTTGAAACTTTGGTTTAAACTTTATTTCTATCAGGTGACTAATTACGCAGTTCCTTGGAGATCCTGTTATTTCCTGGACCATTTTAACTTGGTTCATGTTCGTGATTACACTTTCACTTCTCATCTTTACATGTGTTTGCCTGATACGACTGGAATAAGGCAGCGTGTGCTGGGGAGTGCTGTCTAATAAATAGCCCATATCAGATAAAGGAACAGTTTCAACATTCACCTAAAATTAGAAGCAACAAATATATTTTATAGTTCTCCTCCCCTTTCACTCCCCCACTTTCTTTTTTTTCTCACTTGTACTTTGGTGGGTTGGGGTCTCATGTAGTCCAGGCTTGCCTTAAACTCACCATGTAGCCAAGGATAATTTGACCTTCTTAGTCTCCCGCCTCTACTCTCCATGTGCTGGGATCACAGGTATGTGCCGATGACATCTGGTTTGTGGGTGCTAGGGATGGCAAATAGGGCTTTATGTATGCTAGGCAAGCATTCTAAGGCCTCCGGTGAGTCTTCTGTGACGATACACAGTTACTTAAGAAAGCCAAGACGTATATACTAAGTGCTTACTATATGTAAAAGTCATACTGCAACAGTTAAAATACTGGGGGGACTACCAGGTGAAGGTCATCGAGCATTGGGAAGGCCGCCAGTGTTCCTCACCCCCACCACTGCCATGCATAGCCGCGGTCACATCTCTGATGTGGTCTGCTGTAGCTCAAATACACCTGCTAATGTGTCGTGTTTAGTTAACCGTGCATACTGCTTTCTAGGTGTGATGCTGGCTGGCACACACCTCCGTCACTATTCTCTGCCCTATGTCAGGGTCCTGGGCCTTGCACTAAGTAGGTGCAGCTGAAGGACTGTCATAGGGAAAGAGGGCACAATTATCGCAACTGTAGTGACCCGAATAAGTCTCCCAAATATTCCTTGTAGGAACCACAGTTTAAGTCTTCAAGTCCTGAATTAAAATTCTGCTGGATGGAAGGATGCTGTTTTAGTTTGTGTCTCTATTGCTGTGATAAGTATCACGGCCAAAAGAAATTGGAGAGAAAAGACTTCATTACATATTACAGGTTTTGACCCATCATTCAGGGAAACCAAAACAAGAGCCGAACAGGAACCATGGAGAAGCACAGCTTACTGGCTTGCTCCCTGGCTCCCACTCATACCCCTAGGGGTGGCATTGCTCACAGCAGGTCTGGTCCTCCTGCATCAATGAGAAATCAAGAAGATGCCCACAGACTTGGCCGCGGTTCAGGATGATGGAGGCAGTTCTTCCGTCCGTTGAGGTTCGTTCTTCTCAGGGGTGACATGCTAACGAGAAGATGAGCCGTCACAAGGGTGTGATCTGCTTGTGTTCCAGCTCTCCCTTGGACCGTGTGGTGCTCCAGCCACTGTGATCGTTGCTTTAGAAGGAGTGGCTTCGTCGCATCGGTTCAGATGGTGTCTTCTCTGTTGTCTCATGCTTGCTCGTTGCTGTTGTCTTGCAGTTGCTCCGGTCGGCAGCTGATTGGTCTGCTGGGATAAAGCACCACGAGGAGTCCATCCACGCTGCCTACACCTACGTAATCGAGAACAGCAAGCACTACATCTACATTGAAGTAAGTAGTCAGTGAGTCAGTTCCACAGCTTGCCTTCCTGGGTGTCTTAGTTCCTGTTGTCATGATAAACACCGTGACTCTGAGCAGTCTAGGGGAGGGACAGAGTTTATTTGGCTTACATTTCCACAGTTTGTCACTGAGGGAAGCAGGGCAGGAACTTAAGAGGGGCACAGGAACTTGGAGGAGGGAACTGAAGCAGAGCCTGTGAGGAGCAGAGCTTATTGGTTACTTCCCAAGGCTGGTTCATCCTGCTTTCTTGTCCCACCCAGGACTACTTGCACAGGGTTGGCAATGAAAGGCGGGAGGCTCCTGTGTCAGTCATCAATCTCGAGAAAATGCTCTCCAGAATTCCTTGCCTATGGGCAATCTAACGGAGGCATTTTCTCAGTTTAGGTTCCTCTCCTAGATAACTTTAGTTTGTGTGGAACTCAAACAAAACAAAACAAAAGCAAACAAACAAAAACAACAAACTGACCAGGGCACCAAGTATCGTACAAGACTGTAGGGACCCCAGTTCAGGATTTCTTATTAATAAACATGATCTGAGTTATGAAGAATTCGACGGAAATATTGACTGAAGTCATTTGTATTCCCACCTCCTAGCATACCTGAACTCATTCTGCACCATCATTAATTCAAGGCTAATGGAGTCTTGCAGACCCTTGTGGTACTGACCTCTGTCAGCTGATAAATACATCTTTGGCTGAAACAACCCAGCATGGATGTGGGAATTTTCACTGGGGTGTGGTTAGAAGATCTAGCATGAAGCATGTGCTGTTTCAGGAGAGCACACACATGCACACAGCAGTAAGTTGCTCACACAGAGGACTGACAGAATTCCCCTGCTGTGGGGAATCCTGGAGCAGGAAAAGACAAGGAAGGAATGGGGGATGTGAGGACTCTGTGTTCAGAGTCCATGAGAAAGTCTGAGAGCATCAAGTTTAGTGTGGGAACTTTAATTGAACTTCAAAATAGATACAGAAATAGTACAGACTCTTTGGAACCCCTGAGAAAAATAAAGAATCCCAATAAGGAGGGGGGAGACCCAAACCAACACATATCTCCCTCCTTTATCCTGGTCTTATTTTTCCATTGAATAAAAATAGAACGTTTAGCAGAAATGAGTTGTCGGGGAAACCATCTGAGCCCTGCTTTCCTTCTCCCAGAGTCCTGCTACTCTTCCCTTCCGTAGAGCGACAGTCGATTAAAACATCAGCAAACAACTGTAGCTTGACTCATTTCTCAGACTTGGAGAAAGAGAAAGCTAATTAAAAACATTAGCAGCCTAAATGTGTGTGTATTCCACACGGGATCACGCAGCGGATAAAGGGTATTAGTGGAAATCAGGGAAGCCCACTCGGGAGCTTAATAAGACATTTGGTGTCATTAGCTGTGAGGATGATGCTGTCACTGCCTCTTCTGGCATTCTGGTTTCATTTTTAAAGTGGCATTAACACAGCCATCTCAGCTGCTTCTCTTGTTGCTGTGGTAAGGTAGCTGACAAAAGCAATTGAGGCAGCAAGGGTTTGTTTGGGCTCATAGTTCTGAAGAATAAAGGCCGTCAGAGCGGGGACGTCATGGCAGCCGGAGCAGGAAGTGGGTGACAGTGCCTTCTCCTTTGTAATGAGCCTATGGTTCCAGTTTGTGGAATGGTGCTCTCCACATTTAGGTGATTAACCTAATCTGTATAAACCCATGGGCTGGTTTCCATGGAGATTCTAAATTCAATCAAGTTGACCATCATGACTAATACAACCAACTTTTCTTTCTCATGCCAGTATGGCATTGAATGAGGTCAGCAGTGCCATGTGGGCATTCATGGTTGTGGACATTTCTCTGGTGATACTCATCAGGGTGAGCCGTCAGCATTAATCTTAATCCTCAAAAGGGGGAGTGGAGGGAGGGAGAGAGAAAGCAAACCATGGCATGTGACAGTCTGTCCTTGTAGCTGATGAGATGTGCTACCCTGCTTTGTAGCAAGAGTTGTTTGACTCATATTCTCAGAAGAGTTTCTGCACAATGCCTTCCTGCAATGTCTCCTGAGGCATTGTGCCTATTTGTGCCCTGCTGTGCAAAATCTTGTGAACTCATAAAAATGGTATTGCTATCAAAGGACAAGAATTTACTTGAAGATATTCCTTGAGATGATTTGTTAAAAAAAATTACAGTTGTATTGTAATTTCAATAAGCAGAACTCATAATACTCATTGGTTATTTTTAACATTCTTTTATGCAGCAATAAAAATATTTTGTATCATTAGGATAATAATGGAGTTATTTTCTGACAATAGTGTCGAAGAATATTTTATAGATCTATGAATAACAGAAGTACTTGAAATAAAACCTCTTTTCATTCTATTTTATTAATATATATATTAATATATACATCCATGTACACACAAAATAGATTTGATATAATGTATATGGCATATCATATACATAATATATGTGCACAAAA